CCCCCTCCCCTTTACCTGTCAAGTATTTATTGCTTTCCTTCATCTCTGACCGAAATCACCGCTCATATTCAGGTCGTAACTCATCATTTTTTTGTAAACGCACCAATTCAAATTCGAAGAATGAAAGGCTGGCTCAACATTACACAAAGGCGATCGGACAGTCCCAGAGTACAAGCGCAAAATCTGTCTAGCAAATTCGGATGCACACCTGATAGATGGTCAGGGAAACAAAAGCACCGATGAAATCACAGTTCGAATCTCGATGTGATCCCATCTGATGCGGCTTTGTTGGCCCTGCCTACCGAATCACGCCTTGCTGTAGTTCGATGTTCGGAGAAATCAAAGGCGTCGAAAAGTTCACACCTGGGTGTGATCCTTTCATTGTAAGGCCTCTGCGCCTGAGGTGAACACTGTGCCACTCGTCGAGAAATTTATAGCGGAGATGTGATCGTATATGTATGAGTGTGGATGATCTATGCAGGTTTTTTTGTTCAGTAAAACATGATCTAAAATGCAGGAATTTCATACTCCAGAGTGAGATCTTAGGAGTGATTTTCCTGAAATAAAATGTGTAGTTATATGGGGGTTGTTTGTTTTCTTTTCTTTTCTTTAAACAACGAAATCTTAAGTGAACCGGGATCATAAATGATGGGATCTCAGCTGGAGACTACTATGATATATTAAACAGGGTTGAGTAGCCTACTATTAAAGGAGACTCAAGCTCTTTCCACCACCACCACCCCCAACCCCCTTCCTTAACCTTTTTTAATAATCAGAGAAGTTATTCGTCGTTGTTGTTTAGCAGGTACTGAATTTATTGAAGAAATATGGAGCCTCCAGGACATCTACATTTTGACATCAGCAATAGCAATGAGATACATGGGTTTTAAAACATAAAATAAATCAACTGACTTTCCCAATCTCAAGGATCTCAGAATAAAACGCTCTTTCCTATCTAGATTTCAGTGCGAGAGTCAGGCAGTGCGTAGCGCAGGTTGACCATGGTTCCGCTGCGAGAGAGGGCTTCTATCAAACGTGCGTTGCCGCCAACAGGGCAGCCTCCATTACTGTATAAACTTCCTTGGTTCTGATGTAGAGCCGCTCATAGCGGTTATATAATGTATAAATTTGTTTTCTCCTTCTTTTTCCGTACCACTTACATTTCAAACCTTTTTTTTCTGTTGTCATTGAATAGTATTTTTTTTTTGTATTTTTTTTTTTTTTTTTTTGGGGGGGGGGCATTTCGATACGACACTAGCACAGATATTTCTTTTTCAACTTTTTGTGAGATCACCCCGTGAGGTCATGAAGCAGTCACAAATTATTTGCGTTTGGAGTAAAAACTATTTGTGGGTTGAATCAGTTAGGGTCGAACTTGAAAGTAACGGTGTAGCAAACATAGGCCTACGTATTATTATCCAGTCAACTGCACAACGACAAAATCCTGGGTTTGTTAACCTTCTAAAAATAGGGTCTATATCTATACCTCTTTAGTTCAGAGAAAGTAGTGTTATGGGTTTCTTTCCTTTTATTCAATTCCAGATGATATTCATTTCAAGAAACGTGGTTGATTTTATTATTTTAATTCATAACGGAAGGTAAATTTTTTATTGTGTCAATTTACATTCTGGAAACGATCAAAGACTACCCAAGTCACAGAACCCAATACAATCCACAGCTATATTAGTTATAGGCCTATTAGGTGCTCTATGTAATGGTATTAAGCCTGTGACTGATAATGACGACTGCGTGAATTTCAAAACTAGATTTTGAATATAAGAGTTTTTAATGTTTTGTTCATTGAGCCTTTAACATCTATATACATGTATGTTGAAACATTTCTAATTTGTTCACTTTGTCCATGTATGTCCAAGAGTGGAAATGAGCTCTAAACACGAGCTGAACGCAACAGTGAAGACATGGATAATGACAACACTGACAGTCACCATAATGTCCATGAGACACGGACAGATTAAAGATAACGACGTCGCCCATCCCAAAGGCCATCTCAGATCCTTCGGCAGCAGCGGAACTATCAGACTGGTGAACTTTACTTCAGGGTTCCCCGAGACCCGACCCTTCCTGGAGGATTACATCATCTCATCGGAACCGTTGCTCATGAGAGGAGCCCAGGCATTGTTCGCAGCCTATGACAAATGGACTGACGAATACCTCGCCCACACAGTTACTCAAGGCGATGCCGCGTTTGTCTGGTGCGAGACCCAGAAAAAGGAAGCAAGGAGCTTGCCGCCAAAATTCATGAGTTTTTCTCGGTTCCTGAAGATCTATAATGTCTCCGATTTATACGTCGTCGACACAGTTCCTGAAGTGCTGGCCCATGATGTAGTACTACCTTGCCCATTACAGGTAAGGGATGTCAGTTAAGATTCAAGGCCTAAGTCAGGCATGAGCAAACTACGACCCGCAGGCTAATTTCGACTCGCGATCAACTTCAGTCCGGTTCGCAAGTCGACTCTGTAATAAATGAAGCTAATGTAACCCACGGTAAGCGGATAAATGTTTCAAAATGTCCGTCTTGAACAGTAAGGTTACCAGTTTCTGGCCCAGGTGGAAATAATAGAGCTAATAATTTTATATCATGCTTAAATGTCATGCTATGGTAGTGCCCGTTTTAGTCTCACTTTGGAGAACTTGGATATTTCAACCGATTTCATCCAATTTCCTACACTTTTGGCCCTTATTATTCGGAAACGCTTAATCCAGCCCGCGACTGAGACAGGCTTGTCTGTGTCTATTCTAAGGCTACCTCCCGTTCAAGGAGCGTTTACCCCCCCCCCCCTCCTTCCTTCTTCCCTCCCACAATATACTTACCACCTCCCACCACATCTCATCATTACTTCATGAAATACAATTACCATCTTGACAATTTGTCCTTCTTTCTTGATCATAGCACACTCTTAAGTTTATACTGTGATCATGTGCTTCGCCATCGATTATGTTGTGGTAACAGTAGACTCTAAAGTCTATGCGTATGTATGCACGTTCATGCACATGGATTTTTGCTAAGATGAAAGGTACATTATGTAAAGCACTAGAACTGTATTGTACTGGAGTATGCGCTATAGAAATGACCTGTTTAATTATCACCCCTTTTTACCCCAGCTTTCCACAATCATCCTTCAGAGTGCCTTCTCCCCCACAGTACTTTCTCCTTGTTAGTAAGGTTTTACGGCGCTCGCAACTGCATAAGGTCATGTCAACAGAGAAGTATAAAAAAGGAATCAGACTTACTCTGCTCACCTCTTTAGCCTCAACAGCACAAAGTCTGCTTCGACTATCAAGGCACCACGGAAATAGCGGGTCACAAGAGAGTGACAAAACATACAGAAGAAGTAGAGGAAAATGACGATAGTAAGGATGAGGAAAGAAACAGCAGCAGGTCCCCATATGTTGTTCCGGGACAGTATGAGCATGACATTGATAAATCAACCCATTTACAATTCTTCTGTGCACAAGAACATGGTAATATCCCTCCTTTGGCAATGGCTTAAACACAACTTCCCTCAGTAGCACTGCCCTGGTGGAGGGTACTTTCTCTTCCTCTTCTCTTCTCTTGCCTTCGTTCTTCTTCTTCCGTTTGAACTACTCTGTCGGAACCCATGAATTACAATGCCTCACAGTAATAATTAGTATCATTCATTGTCGACGCACAATTTGAAAAAAATTGAATCTCTACAACCAAAAAATTTCCCTTTAGTTTGTACACCTTCTAAAGTGTTTCCAGTTGAAATCAAACAAGTATAAATGCGTAGAAAATGGAGGCGATCTCAGGAATGGCATAAGGAAGGATACAATAGACTATAGGCCTACCGAAGTAAAACTGGAGGGCATTGAAGAGTATGAGTTCAACGCTCCTGTCAACACTGTTGGGTTATTTAAGGGGCAAGACCTCCGAATTTAATGTCCGTCTTCGAAAGGACCGCGTCAAATGGGTTGAGTGCATTGAAAATCCACAAAACGACCCGAGTTCAAGAACGCCCCGTTTGTGAATCAAACCAGGGCCACTCGCTCCATTTTCAGCATGCTACTAACTGATGGGTATTATTTCTCCTGTCTTTTCCCCGTGACGTAAGTGTCCGGCTCTGAAGCTAGCTGTGGACACTTCCTTTCTTTGGTTTAGCAGCGGTGGCACCAAGTCTGTGGTTCACGTGGACAGTTACGAAAACATTCTGTGTGTGCTGAGGGGGAGCAAGACGGTGACCATGGTTAGCACTGCAGGTGGCCTGGACAAGGTGAGACTTGGTTGTTGCTGTTGTTGTTGTTGTTTGTTGTTGTTGCTGCTGTTGTTGTTGTTGTTGTTGCTGTTGTTGTTGCTGCTGCTACTGTTGTTGCTGCTGTTGTTGTTGTTGTTGTTGTTGTTTTGTTGTTGTTTGTTGTTGTTGCTGCTGTTGTTGTTGTTGTTGCTGTTGTTGTTGCTGCTGCTACTGTTGTTGCTGTTGTTGTTGTTGTTGTTGTTGTTTTGTTGTTGTTTGTTGTTGTTGCTGCTGTTGTGGTTGTTGTTGCTGTTGTTGTTGCTGCTGCTACTGTTG